TCGTAATCTTAGAGAAAATTGCTATTATACTGGACCGTATTGAGCCGGTAGGCTACCGAGAAAATCGGTCGTTTCCAAAATGTTTCGTATAGACACATTAAACCTCATAACAAGTCGACAAAATATTGGTTTTTTTGTTATTAGGTACGTTTGAAGCAATAATTGAAAAAAAAAATAAAAATAAATTAACGTGTGTATACCGTTCTAACAGCTCATATACTCGTGTATCTTAAAATGTTGGCGTCTAAAATTCCAGCTTCTTTTGTACCGTCAAACCAAAAATATGTATGTAATTATTGAATAATGAATTGAACATTATTAACTAATGTAATGTTATTTTTTTTTTTCCAAAAGCTTTCATTAATATTAGTATATGATTATTTGCCAAAATTATTAATTAAACTTGTTCCTTAAGTTTAGCTATACTCAAGTAAACAATAATAAAAAAGGAATTAATAATGGTTTTTTGTTATATTTTATAAATATGTTATAGTTTTGAAAATATAATATTGAACCATTTGTTTTCTTTTAATAAAATAAAGTTAAATATTAATAAATTTTAAATTTTATTTTATTAAATCTTAAAAATTACCTGTTTTGGTATAATATTTATTTAACGTTAGAATATGTTGATTGATTCCTTTCAGGAAACTTTTCAAAGTATAACCAAGAAGTTCTCAATGTGCCTACCACATCCAAACTACTTTCATATTACACTCTAAGCATATCAGAACACTCCAGTGTACCATAAATAGTAGGATTATTTTAAAAAATATTGAAAAAAAAAGAACAAAACAAAAAAATAAAACAACAAATTTTGTATAATAATATAAAATTGCATACATATTGGTATAATTTAATATGAAATACAAGTATGAATAGACAAATTGTGAACTTTACATTGTTATTATTATTGTTTAGAAATGTAAGCCAGATTAAAATTACATTTTTCACAAAACTTATAGCATTCTTATCGTTTGCTTTCCTATTTAAAGAAAAGATAAAGTACAACTATGTTAGTTGGAAGACTCCCAAGGGGTTTCGCCCACTATTTCTATTATATGTGCACATTATTATAATTTTCAATTATTTTTTTATTTTTTGCTTGTTACTATTTTTTTAAAAATATTTCTCCCGTGGATTTGAAGCTCATTGATGTTTTGTGTAATAGTCAAAGGGTAAAAAAGATAAGATTTATAATGTTAATCATTTTTTTTTTTTTTTTTTAACAAAATTGATCATAATCACTTAATCAACTAAAAATATGATAACATTTATTGACGGGTTACATTATGCGAAATACTATTGTGAATCGTAATATATTTTAATGATTAAACAAATATAACCAAAAATTGTAAAAAAAAAAAACATTCATTAAATAACCTCAAAATGAAAATGATGAAAGTGGTAATTCATAAACAGGGTTAGGCTCGGATTTTATAACATTTATATATTATTATAGGACATGGGAAAATAGCACAGTAACTCACTATGTCTTTATGGCTTATACATTAATGAATTTGAATTATTTAAAACTTATGTTGCATATTTATAGATTTTTTATGCCTTTTTCTCATTGTATTAAATAAAACATTGTTTTATTCTTAATTTATACATTTTAAGGTCATATTATGTATAGCACATATAAATAATGCTAAATGGCTTTTTAAATGTATAATATAACAATATATTAATACGTTAACAAATTAAGTTCTAAAATAAAATCAGAAAATGGATCCAGAAAATTCACGCAACATACTTTTGGTTTTGCTTATTTTGATGTGTACTTTTTCTATAATTTATTAATACAATTAATTTGGTTTGCTGTTTTGAAAATACTTGAAATTATAATATTTTAATTTAAAAATAACTTAACTACATAGTATTAAATCACCAACTTTCATCTGTGAAAAAATTAATACTATTTTAGCATACTTATTATACATACTAATATATAATACCTATCATATTAAAAAAAAAAATACAATGAACAGAACAAAAGTTATTCAATTACCTGAATCAACATGGGACACCCTGTACATTGTCTAGAGTTACGTTCGTACGTACAATTTATTATATTAAATAAATAATAACCACATATTTGGGTCAAATTCAATCGTTTTCGCCGGGCGATAACTATCTGCTGTTTATCTGTTAACAAATAACAAGGCCAGGACTATTTGCAGTGGAAATACCACCAACAGTTCATAAAATATATAATTGGTTTAAGAAAATCAATTGGATCCTTAACGAAAAACATATGGGAAATGCGGTACTCCTCCCCTCTTCCACGTATACCAATGACATATATGCATGTGCAATGGTAATACGTTCCGCAAGTACATTATATACGTAAAACTAATTAATTTACGGGTTAATATGTGTGCACGCGAAAGAATGAAAAGAAGAAAAAAAAAATTAAAAAAAGAAAAAATAAGAAAAGACAATGCTACGCATTAAAATACAATGCGTATATATGTGTTTGCGTTCAAGGTTGCCGCCGTACCGTGAAAACTGTGCGAATCTTTCGTTTGCCCTAGATACTTCTCTGAATTATTATTATACAACTCCGTGTGCAATATAATACATAATGTGAATCGCTGATGAGCTCTTTGTATGGTCGACAAAGAACCGCGCGTTGATGACCGGTTAAATGGATCGAAAAATTCGGTCCGCGAACAAATGTTTAAACACGTGAAACCAAGGGCGTGTTCGAGGGGGGTGAAAGGGGAATTTGCCCCCCCATGGTTCATATTTTTTTTTGAATATAATACATTGATTTATTTAAAAAATGTAACGTATAAATAATTAAGAATATAAATTACTAGTCTATCATTAAAATATGTTATTATAACAGGAATATGAGATGTAGGTAATGAACTGTAAGTTATTTTTAAGTTTGTATTGAAGAATAATTTGTTTCCACCCCCCCCTCCCCATGGTCACGACTCAAATACGTCTTTGCGTGAAACACACGGGACGGTTTGCAAGATCTGCATTACAGAGGTGTGCTCAGGAATTTTGAATGGGGGGCGTTCAACTTTTTTTAATACAATATTATAATCAATACGCACTACGAATTAAAATGTGAAAATTATAAGTGAACATTATATTAAAATCATAAAACAAAGTCAAGTTTACGAGGTTTTTTAGCAACCTCGTCAAGGACTTCTTCGGCTGAAAGTGGTATGTTAATTTTATTATTTTATTATGCGACGTTTTAACTGTAAATTAAACGATTTCAAAACTCGAAATATGAACACAATTGCACAGATAGAAACAAATTTATATACAGAATAAATTATATAATTATTATTAAGTTTATCTGTGATATGATACATGATAAATTGATAACTTATATTAGCGTTATATTTTGTGATCCTGGATTTTAGGTACTAGTTATTAGGTGATTACCACGGTCTTGGAACAATAATAGTTACTGTCACCAATATCAAATAATACAGACTAATAAGCAGAAAATAATACCTAATAAATAAATAAAAACTCTAAAATTGGGAAACGCAATAATTATTATTATATGTAAGTGGTTAATACATATTATATATTTGTCAAGTATACGTGTTGCGGGTTTGAACCTCCCCCCTCCTCCCGAGCACGACCATGCTGCCCCGTTCGACAGTACGTACTCCAAAGCAGAGAATTTCGTACCACACGTTGACAATAACACGTTGTGTTATGGGCGAAGTATACAATTTGGGCGTTTTATACAATGCCCGGACAGTATATGAAATGCCCTTCGTACATTGGGCAATATGGATAACTGATGATATGGTTTAATGAAATATGATGAATCAATGAATAATGACATTTAGTTATTATATTATTAGAAAATATAATAAGTTTTTTTAATTTTGTTATCGCTTATCGTCGCATGTACTGCTTCCGTGACATTTTTATGTACACAGTCGCTCCGCTGCTTTACGCTTGCACTTCCGTGTTTTACATTTTTTGTATTCATGTACATCGGTCGTAGCCCTGACCACCCAAATTTGAAGATTTCCGTGCTGCCTCTCGGAGTGAAAAATTGGTGTGCGGCACATCAACACCCAGAAAACTTTGTAAATTACAAATTGGTTTCTACTGTACAGAGTTGAAAGACGGCCTTCCTTGGTCCCGATTTCGTACGCATTTTATTATGTTAACTGTAAAATCAGAATAAATACATTTTTATAATTTTATCTGGAATATTAATAATATAAGTGAAATGTTTTTGTACATTCATCGATTTATTATATCATATTTCATCAAATCATATCATCCATTATCTATAAATTGTATACTTTGCCCGTAACATATATATATATATACAGTGGTGTGGTGATGATATTATTTTGGAGCAATTGCTCCTTCAAAATGTTTGGTAGATGGGTGATCCCCCTGCCAAAAAATACTTAACAATAAGTATAACAATAATATAGATATATCATAACATCGTATTAAATGTTTTAAGTGGTATATACAATATTTGGCGCACAAATTTACTGTATATGATCCGTTACACTAGAAACGATTGGTCCTAACTAATTGCAATACCAATATTAACAACATTATTCAAAATTCACATACACTGCATAGATGAAGGTACAAGATAATTAATGAGTGTAATAAATTTACTAGATAATTAAGTACATCTGATTATACAAATCAGTCTAATATACGTATATTTTTTAAATTGTAAATGTTTTGTTGTAGTGGAAATGCCGTTAGGATGAATAAAGGGTACCTTATGGTATATACATTTTTGCTCTTCACCAAAAATTAGTTCAACACGCCACTGTATATACGAGGTGTGATCAAAAAATACCCGGACTGCATTAATAATATTTATATCAGTTATGATAACGAAATTCCGATAATGTCATTCGAAAAAGTAATTTCTAAAGAGGATTTGAGCGTTGGTTTGAAATCGATAACAATATTTATATTCATTTTATGTTATTTTTACAAAAACATGCTTCAGTCGTGTGGCGAATTCCGTAATGGAAGGAATAGAAGAACAACGTGTGCGCGTAAAATTTTGTTTTAAATTAGGAAAAAGTTCGAGTGAAACTTTTGAACATATGCAGTAAGCTTTTGGAGATGATGTTCTGAGTGTTCTTGAGTGGTTTAAACGGTTTAAGGAAGGTAGAACATCCGTCAAGGATAACGAACGACCCGGTAGACTATCGACCAGTAAAACAAATGAAACTGTTGCTCGTGTTCGAGAAATTATTCGAAATAATCGTCGATTAACTATTAAAGAAGTAATAGAAGACGTCGGTATATCTTATGATTCGTGCCAAGAAATATTAACAAAAGAATTGGGAATGAGCCGAATCGCAGCCAAATTTGTTCCTCGCCTCTTAACCAATGAACAAAAACAAAATCGAAAGACCATTAAACCACTCAAAACATGTTGTCCGAGACAGAACATCATCTCCAAAAGCTTGCTGCAAAAGTTCAAAAGTTTCACTCGAACTTTTTCCTAATTTAAAACAAAATTTTACGCGCACACGTTGTTCTTCTATTCCTTCCATTACGGAATTCGCCACACGACTGAAGCATGTTTTTGTAAAAATAAATATAAATATTGTTATCGATTTCAAACCAACGCTCAAATCCTCGTTAGAAGTTACTTTATCGAATGACATTATCGGAATTTCGTTATCTTAACTGATATAAATATTATTAACGCAGTCCGGGTATTTTTTGATCACACCTCATATATATATATATATATATGTATATATATAAGTCTCCGCCTGTTCTGATCATTAATGTTTGAACTACCGCAGTGAAACGTTTCAAAATCGTCATTATCCGAGTTCGATAACGTACCGGTCGCGTGTTACATCCGGTTAGATCAGAGATTCCCAACCTTTTTTGACTCACGGCACCCTTTATTATTTTCTAAAAATTTGGATGCACCCTGTAGCCTATGCCCTATACTCTATAGTTTATACTGAATACGCAATAGTAATATATCGTGTATTTAAATTTCTATTTTGTAACTTCGGTTTTATTTAGCATTGATAAACAATAAAGATAAAATATGAAAGTCACAAGTATTTCACCGTAAACAACTTTAAAACAGTTCACATCAAATCGATAGCAATCGGACCAGTATGAAATTAAAATAGATTGAACATCACAGTATTACTGTGTAAAAAATATATGTGTTATATAATCAATACATTAAATTATATTGTGTATACCTAATTAATATTATACACAATAAGTTTTGGTCTGTTTTATTACTCGCAGTGCTATATTTTTCACGAAGGCGTTTAAAAAAATAATATATATTTCAAATATTTTTGCGGCACCCTGGTTGGGAACCTCTGGGTTAGATGGACCTACGGTCGGTTTTTTTTTCTACCGTAGTTACGGCACGGCCGAGAATCGTTTCACCCCGGAGTTTGCGTTTCTCAACGCGTCCGCGTGTTCAAAATGTTTTTAAAACCGTTACGCGAGACGTCCGTTGCAGAAACGAACGGTCGTCGCCGCACGTACGTGCGGATTTCAACAGTTTCTGCTACCAATACTCGGACGGTTCGTTCGGTTTCCTCTCCGGCAGACACGCGACAAGAAACGTATTTACAAATGACGCTTAATACAATCGCGACTGGAACGCGTTCCGGTGCGCAACCGCGGTTACCGACGGTAGTACGTCCGCGGCCCGTTGACAACTGCAGCGGAACGTTACGTGCCAAGTCCGGCGGGCGCGCGATAATATTTCAAACGGCGCGGTCGTCGGACGGGGGAAAAGGAAAAAAAAACACATTGGAATATACGAAACGCATTGTCCAGATATGCGGCACGCGTTAAAACGAATGCAGTCCGTTTGACGTGGCGTTTGAATACGGGCGCGACTGACGTTGGCGAGCGCATCTCCCGCAGGATTGTACTCGTCTCGGGGGACGACCGCGGCGAGCGTTCAATAGAAATCAAGGCGTTTTTCATTTCTCGTTTTCCGAAAACATCGCGATATTATCGTAGCGGAAACGGACGAACGCGTACGATGATGCACGCGCACGACGCGTGCTGAGACGTATTCAGAGTTTTGACGCCTCGGCTACAGTTTTATTGCCACCCCTGCACGTATACGCGTACGATTTTCAAGAAAGGTAGTATTTATTATCAACGAATTTTACGCGATAAACGGTTGATAATGTAATCGGGAAAATATGAATCACCTTGTGGTCACTGTGCAAGATCTTAAATATTAAAATTTTTCTGTTGACGAATAAAAATAGACGATGGCTACGAAAAAATGCTGCCAACCTCTGATTCCAAAAAAATTTGCCGTCCGGAGCGATGGTATCCACTGTCCCCCCCCCTCAGAAATACGTCCCTGGACGCGCGTTCGAATCGATAACGTTTTCAACCGGAAAATGCCAGCACGCCGACGTCGATATACTTTTCGGCGCACGCACCACCGAAGAAAACGTGATACGAAATAAAAACGGTAAAAACGAGAAAACTCAACAACAACTCGGCTCGTGATGTAATATCGTTTTCGGATAGGTCACACGCGCGCACATAACATATGCAAGCCCGACAGGCGGCTTGCTCGGACGCGGATGAAAGGAAACCTGAACCGGCGTTCGACGTGCGACGAGTTCATTAGGGCCGAACACGTATTGGCCGTCGCAGGACTTACGAAAACCGTAACGAAACGATCGTGTGCGCAAAACCGTTTGGTACATGCGAGACCCGTGGAGGGGATAACCGAATTGGTTCCCCCGTTTGTAAAAGGTATTTTATTAGGTATAGCCGAATTTGTTCCCGTTTGTGTACTGATAAAATAGTGATAATTTCAATTTTTAACACAATTCACCTACACTATTAAAAATTGAAATCCAGCGGGCTCGTGCATAGAAAGCAAAAAACAAAATTGTATATATTTTATCATTTTTCTTTTTAACACACAGTAAAGCACATTGTTGACCAAGCCTACTTCAAAGTTGACAGTCCTAAGCCTGTAAAATTGAGAAGGAAAATGTGCGTAATCAGACGGGAACCAATTCGGCTATACCTAAAAAAAATATCTTTTTCAGACAGGCGCGTGGGGTTGGAGTTCGGGAACCAATTCGGTACCAGCCCGCGTGCACGGGGTCTGAATTCCTCGAGGATACGAGCTCGGGTACGTCACGTTCTGTGTTCGTCGAGTCGCGGCGGATTCGATTGAAAGAAAAACGCAACAATATGAATTTCTCGTGATGTTGCTAAAACGATCGAACGCGAAACAATTCGTACGTGCATTCATTCCGGTGTACACGTGTTAGTACGATAAAATTTGTCTGCGCGTAACTCGTACCACATACATATTATATTATTGTGAGCGAACGATTGTACTGTTATTATTGGTATTATTATTATTATTAATATTGCGCGAGGATCGACGATTCCGCTGTTTCTCGAAACCCATATTCAAAGGAGACAATATGTGAAACGTGTTGTTTTTTTTTTTTTTAATTATCGCTATACAATGAGTATAATAATATTAAGGTCGTACCGAACGCGCATTATTAATAATTTTTACCTGTATGATATTACTAGTTGAATTACCACCCGGGAGATATTATACTGTTTTAGATTAGAGCGATTACTTTTTGGATGTAAAAAAAAAAAAAAATAAATAACGATAATACTCGGTTGAGCCCAAAAACGTGGTACTCTTTAATGATATTTATTGAATATATTTGTACTACAAACATTTACACATAGGCGGTTTGACGTTTATCGGTTAATGATTCAAGCACAGCATAATACCACCCACCCACCAACCAAAAAGTCATATTAGGTACGAAAACTTACCTAATTTTTATTAAATTACCAATTTTATATTACCTACCGCTGCCAGAAATGGCATGTACCCAACTATTAAAATGACACCTACCACAAAATTTTTGGTAGTTCAGTGAACCACAAAATTCATGATCAAGCCGCCTCTGCATTTACACATACATCAATGGACAATTTTTAAAATTAACATAATACACAAAATTAAAATAGTTCATTGGTAACCGAAAAGTGGTAAAAATATTTTCATCCAGCCAAGAGCCGAAAATTGTTCCGATCCTAAAGAACATGATTTTCAAAAAATGATCACTTGTTGCACCTGTACAAAGTAATAATTATTACTATTAAATAAACTGTATAGTTTACATTGCCTAATTAAATGGATTCTTTCAAAATTTCAAATGAATCGTTATGGTAATTTTGACTGTACGCTGACCGGTGAGTGAATAATTATGAACGGTATTTGAATCATATATAATATTTGGATAATACTTGTGTGCGTAGAAGGTTACTTTACACGAGTCTAACGTGGCCCGGTATCGTGGATACAAGAATATAATATTATTGTTCATTACAAATATATTTTAATTACTTTAGTTGTAAACATATCACGATTTTGAATTATTTTAACGACATTTGTGCATTCAAAATTTTCGATTTTCCAATTATTTTTTTGAGAAGTTAGAACATTTAAATATCAAATAAATTTATTAAAAAAATTGGTTCTCTTACTGTGTCAAATATTATAAATATAAACTGATCCACTCAAATTATTTTATTCAGAATCGTTTTTTCGTGAGCAAATGATACATTGGTTTCAAGTTTAAAAGACCAATACAGTATTATTCGTGCAACCCAGTATTTTACCCAACAGCGGAATCTTACCCAACCCGAAAGTTTTTGTCCATTTTTTTATTTTTATTTTAGAAAGTGTACCGCATATTATCGTAGCACATAAATCCGCGTAGACGGTTTTGAACAATGAATCGAATTCGAGCAAACTATAAATTTACATGCCACCAGATAATACATTATGTAACTCGCCGAACACATTCACACGCTAATTAATCATTTAGTCGTGATTCTATTCGCGTTTATTTTATGGGTATTATATACCTATGGCATCGAAGTACGTATGTATTTTTGTTTTTCTCCCGAAGTGATTGTAACTTATAGGCCACAATAATTGTTAGTTATTAACACACCTGTTTTGGATGTATTTAATTATTGAATTACGTATGATATATTAAAACGCATTCCAATATAACGTCACGTGGAGTATGATTTACATCGTTGGCACATAAGGCGCACACGTGCACCGCGTCTATATTGTGAACGTTTCGCGATTGAGCGTATATATAGTTCACGTTACAATATTACGTATTGTGTTTACACGACGAAAACGGTAATTATCGGCTGCAAGATTTTTTTCAACCGTTCGATACCGAATTCACGTAGTGAACAAATCTTACCGATAGAATAGAATTACGTGGTTTACGATTGTCTCCGCAAATAACTTTCATCGTAGACATCGGTGATTTTTGTAAATCGATTATTCAGTTATTCGGTGAACAAATAATATCGACTACAACGGATTTGTAACGTTACCAGGCGCGCACACAAAAAAATATTTTGGGAGGGGTTTTAGGTTGTACATTTTTATAATAATATAATCTATACATCA